TAATCAGTCACATTGTGACGTCATCACTGACCTAGTTACGTAATTTTAATGAGTTTTTTAATGAGTTTGAATTTAATTAATTTGATTTTTAATTAATTTTTTATTAACGAGTTACTTAATATGATTATTTGTTTGTATTTTGTTTGTTTATTTTTAATTAATTATTATTTTTTAATTAGTTTGAATTTTTTATTTATTTTAATTTGTATTTGTTTGATTTTAATTTTTTAATTATTTTTATTTTGTTTTTAATTACTTTGTTTGTGTTTTGTTTATTTTTAATAAGTTTAATTAATTTGATTTTTATTTATTACATTTTTAAATTTTAATTTTTTATTAATTAGCACGTAATTTGATTATTTGTTTGTATTTTGTTTGTTTATTTGTTTACTTGTTTAATTATTTTTATTGACGAGTTACGTAATTTGATTTTAATTTTTTAAATTTTTAAATTTTTAAATTTTTAAATTTTTTTAAATTATTATTTTTAAATTTTATATTTGTTTATTTGTTTACTTGTTGATTATTTGTTTGGTTTAATTCATTTTAATTAGTTTCATCTTAATTTTTATATTCTCCAACACAACGACCGTGTACAAAAAACAGGTTAAAGTCTCCACCACAACGCTAAAGTATACAAACATAGCCCGTGAACCTCCCCTGCACGGCCCGTGGTTGCTTAATAGCGGGTTCACTGAAGCGATCACTACAGGTAATTAAGCGAAGCCATTAAGCGCTTGTCAGCGTGCCCAACAGGCGACACCTGTTACATATCGATCCGCGAAACTTTCCTTTGTTGACACGCGCTGCGCGTTTTTTAATGGGAATGTATTGATCGCAGCTCCAGGCCCATCACAGCATGATGTCCCACCTAATTAAATTTTTGTTATGCATCACCGAGTTTCCCCCGCTCGGTTTGAAAGGTCATGGTAATTTACGACGTACATTAAGTGGCTTTCCGCGAAGTACATACGTCATTATGCAACAGCTGTTGTGTGACAGCTGGTGGTGTAATTAGACCGTCCAACCGTATAAATGGCGAACACCGTAGGGGTACCGCGTTTAATCGAAAGAGCTAAGTGGTTAACCGCAAAGCCAGCGTTAAGTGTGGGAACACATGTTACCACATTAATTGATTTCCCCCCCCCCCCCCCGGTTGGGTCCCGTGCTTTTCACTAACAGTTATACGGACAGTATCATAGGTTTTTCATCGAGTAAATAAATAGTATTGATCGACCCATGTCTAGTCTATATACCCATTAACCAACGGTGCAACAACTGTTGCGCGACCACAGCATAGGATCTGGTAATTATCGCGAAGTCATTAGGTAACAGCTGGTGCTGTAATTAGACTGACCAACCAGACTTTTTTCATTACTTTGTTGTAACTATTCGCTTATAGCGACGGTCAGCGAAAACAAAATATTTTAAGGGTTGGAATTTTCTTTCAACCACCGTTAAATCAGGTTTTGAGACGAAACGAAGTCTCGGTAGGTTCGTGTTTTTTAATGGGCGACAGGGCGACTTGGTGCGTTGGTACGTGAGGTATGCGGGTAGACAGGTTTTTTTTTTTTTTTTTCAACTCTGGAAAAGTAATTAAGTTTTTTTATGGCCGTTCCGAGTTTCTTTTGATCTGACCACCATTTGACCACCCTGAGCCAGATAAATTTAACAAATGTTCAATACATAGTCGCTTATAGTAACATGGGTGAGGGGTGTAAGCAGGCGGGTGACGGTGTGAACAGGTGATTGAAGGGTGAGCACTTAGGTGAAGGGGTGAGCAGATCGGTGAAGGGGGACAGGAGTAGGATTAAAGGATATATAGTAAAAGATTCCACCACCTAAGTGAGGTGGATTTTAATTTTAATTTTAATTTTTTATTTTATTTTTTTCATCATCTGTTAACTTTAAGGTTCTATAACTCTATATATTTAAATACATTTTTTGATTCAAACGAGTTTACTCCCCCTAACGTAAGCACATGTAAAGAGGGATTTCCTATAGGTCTGTAATGAATTAGGCCTTTTTGACTATGACTTGTTGCCCAGGTGTTGACATGATACACTTTTTTGAGATACATGTACACACACACACACACACACACACACACACATACGCGCGCGCGCGAAATTCATACTAGGTCGGTAAAGGTGGAGAGAACTTATAGGTATACATTATCATAGCGACAACAAAACCGACCCTTATTTTATTTACATGAAAGCGTGTTTTCAAAAAAGTCTCACCAGGCCGTTGTCATTTTCGCAGCGGGGTTTATTTTAAGTGCACCCCGTGCACGATTGTTTACATTTTAAAAGAAGTGTCGCGTGTCTTCCCCATAGGTCTTCCCTAATAGAGAAACGAGAGGAAAGACAACTGTTCTAAAATTAGAACACCCTTGTCTACAGCGACGAGTTTCGCCCCTTGTGAAAAATATTCGCGTCAGAATCCTTAACTAAACAGTCAATTTCTTTAACAAGTTAAAAAATAATTTACGAAGACAAGGGGTTAACAACATTAGACGCTACCGTTTTTGTTTCCTGTGACGACAAGGCACAATACACTTTTGTATGTTATGTCTCAAGTAGAGGGGTGGGATATTTTTTCTTTGTAAGCGTGTTGTAAACAATGGGTAGAGGAGGGGATTACTAACTAAAAGGGGAGAGAACGTGATTTGCATCGCGATATTTGAAAACATGGTGAGGTTTAACCTCAACCAAAAAAGGCAATGAAACTGGAAGGAAGTCGAATATATATCTTAGTCTTGCAGCAGATTACCTTCCCATGTTCGCTTTAGTATTACAGTTTTCATCAAACTTCTTTTTGACTTGAACTTCTTTAATTTTTAAGAAAGTTTACTTATACATATTACATTACGTCTAATGATAATTTTTTATTTTTACCACTCAATGTATTTTGTTTTTTCTATATCTTACATTGCCATCTTAATTTTTGATCACCTTAGTAAAAATTTGCTTAAGATTATAAACTTCAAGTTTTAAAAAAAAAACAACAACGTTATACTACGTCGTGTCAAATGACACACCGTTTAAAATGTCTACATTTAAAGTTCACCAATATTATGACGTAAAAACTAAATATGATATGACATTAGCATACATATCATTCAATCTAATCACTCTAAAGTACAAATCAATAATTTTTATTGATTAAGGGGCTGACAAGCGCTTAATGGCTTCGCTTAATTACCTGTAGTGATCGCTTCAGTGAACCCGCTATTAAGCAACCACGGGCCGTGCAGGGGAGGTTCACGGGCTATGTTTGTATACTTTAGCGTTGTGGTGGAGACTTTAACCTGTTTTTTGTACACGGTCGTTGTGTTGGAGAATATAAAAATTAAAATGAAACTAATTAAAATGAATTAAACCAAACAAATAATCAACAAGTAAACAAATAAACAAATATAAAATTTAAAAATAATAATTTAAAAAAATTTAAAAATTTAAAAATGTAAAAATTTAAAAAATTAAAATCAAATTACGTAACTCGTCAATAAAAATAATTAAACAAGTAAACAAATAAACAAACAAGATACAAACAAATAATCAAATTACGTGCTAATTAATAAAAATTTAAAATTTAAAAATGTAATAAATAAAAATCAAATTAATTAAACTTATTAAAAATAAACAAAACACAAACAAAGTAATTAAAAACAAAATAAAAATAATTAAAAAATTAAAATCAAACAAATACAAATTAAAATAAATAAAAAATTCAAACTAATTAAAAATTAATAATTAATTAAAAATAAACAAACAAAATACAAACAAATAATCATATTAAGTAACTCGTTATTAAAAAAGTAATTAAAAATCAAATTAATTAAATTCAAACTCATTAAAAAACTCATTAAAATTACGTAACTAGGTCAGTGATGACGTCACAATGTGACTGATTACGTCACAAGGTCAATGATTACGTCACAAGGTCACCAAAAGGTGACCTACTTCCCCACCACCTCCGCCAACGCCAGTTGGCGTAGTATTTTACTATATATCTTTGCGCCTGCAGCGCATCCACCTCCACCACCCTCCACATCCGCCAGCGCCAGGCGGGAGAGTATTTTGCTATATGTCTTTGCGCCTGGCTGCGCCTCCGAGTATTTTACTATATAACCTTTGCGCCTTCCCACATCCACCTGCGCCAAAAATAATAATCAAAAGTGACCTAATATACTACTTGTGAGACCTTGGGGGACGAAATTGACGTTTATTTCTTCGCAGCCAAATTGCACCCTACCAGGCCACCGGCGGATACGCTTGATTCGATTTAGTGAGTGTTTGTAACGCCCCATCTTATCCATTGTCTATCACACTGTTTAGAACGAACGTAGTCGCCATGGATATCATGGAAAAGACCAGAAAGCCAAGTCACATCCTGTCGGTGGCCGCCCGTGTGAAATTAAATCCCCCCCCCCTCCCCCCCCCTTCAGAAATCTTCTCGGGAGTATTTATCAACTCATTAAAGTTTTATGGCACTCTGATAAATGTTGTCGAACCGCATCCTATATTTTTTAATATATCATAAATAGAGAAGAATCGCACCCTCCCAGGTCGCTGCCTTTGCGAAATTAAAACTTATTTTTTGGAAAAACCTCACTGTGCTGTTCTTCTCCAATCTTTGACATACACACATACTTACATTGCTTTATATATATATATATATATATATATATATATATATATATATATATATATATATATATATATATATATATATATATATGAATGATACATGTCATATACTACTTATTCTAGCTCACAATATTATAACACAGATATAAAAAATATCAATAATCACAATTACAATTTGTTGAGAGTATCGGGAATATTGCTAAAGATAAAAATATTACCATTATAATCGATAAAATCTTTGTATAAAGGTGTAACATCTAACATCGTATTGCAGAATTATTTTAAACTTTAATTAATAATTCAATACATGACAGAAATAAAATGCAATTAACTGTATTGTTTAGAACCTCTCATGACATCAGCAAACGTTCTACCTTGAAGTCTTTGAGAAACTCCAGGCTGTCATAACAACTCAATCCGTGTTGCCTGGTTTCAATGAAGTTGTTGTTCACTGTTACCTGAATGTAAAAATCATCAACTGTTTTTAATTTCGTAAAGTAAAATTATTACACTAAACAAAGTTCCAATCTATAGACTGATAATTTAACATCAATTGTGTATACAATTTAGAAATTACCGTGGTTGAATTTGTGTATGTTAAAAATTCCAAACAAAACTGCTCATTAGGTTTGTCAAACTTTTCATACGTAGCTGATTTAACCCATTTTCCAGTTTTAAAATGATCGACAAGTACTGTTTTGGCCTTTGTTCCTGTCTTAAAAAAAGCTACTAGGTGTGTGGCTATATCTCCAGTGTTATTTACCAGTGGGCATCGAATGTTTATTCCAAACCTGTGAATATAAAGTTTATTTTAAGAGACATCAATAGTATTTAAATGAGATACTTAAAAATTACGTATATGAATTTAACCGATAGGCTAGACTATAAAAATGGTATAATAACCCAATATACATTTATAGGTATTTTTTTTCATTAAAGTAGCTTTGTCCAAGTTTTTACTTTTATTTTTTATACCATTTTTTTTTAAAATTTAACTTCCAAATTGAACCAACGTGATTCTTTTGAAAACAAAAATAATGGCTTAAACTCTTTCAAAAATGGCGATTTCAAACTTGTTTTTCTCTAACATAATTCGTTACATGCAACGTTGGAAATGTATTTATAAACGACACAGTGTTACAAACTTCAAGGTCTTTATTAGAAAATGTGCGAAAATTCGATAAGGATAGAAATGAACTAAAAGTCATTTACTTGTTAATACCCGTCAATACCTATATATATGTATATATATATATGTATATATATATATATATGTATATATATATATATATATATATATATATATATATATATATATATATATATATATATATATATATATATATATATATAATAACACTTGAAAACCACCCTTATAACTAACCCTAATAGTATGCTTTACATTACGATTGGAGATACGTAAATAATCACAATTTTGAAAAGCGACCATTAAGTGCACTAGATTATCTCTTTAGTGAATATTATAATTCTATACTTATCTTAACTTTAAATATAATATGATATGTAACTACAATGTTGGTCTTGCATGTTCCAATGATAGAGCTTCTTAATAGGGTCAATATATCGCATTTAACATATAGCATATAGATACATATCTATCGTTATATGCACTAAAATTGTGTTTGTTTTAAATCATTTGCGACAACTATATCGTTTTATGTTTTACATACATCAAATCTTACAGTAAACGTAGCAAATTTATATTGTTGAATGCGATTAGAACAAATATACAAAACGACCGTATTATTAAACATCCATTTTGCAAATTTCGTGTTATAAATAATTATTGTGTAGTCCATTAATGAGAATATATATATATATATATATATATATATATATATATATATATATATATATATATATATATATATATATATATATAGATATATATATATATATATATATATATATATATATAGATATATATAGATATATATAGATATATATAGATATATATAGATATATATAATCATATTAAATATTATTAATGATCGGTAGCGATTAACTATTTAAGAAAGTGTTGTACTGTGTGACATTTGCATTTCGGTATCCGTAGATCACAATTTTTTCACCACTCGGTTGTCTTTCAATCTTTACTGGACTTGTCTAAAATGAAGTATAATTAAAAATAAATTTTAATTGATTGTCTTATTTTGTATATATTTTGAAATTTCTTAACTAGAAAAGTTCAATATATTGAAAAAAGAAAACAATAAGTTCATTTAAATAGCGTAACCTTACTTTTTTTAAAAATCAAACAACACATTTTGAACTTAAGTTTCTAAAAAGCATGTAAAAATTAAAGCATGTGTTAATACTTACCGGGTCGTTAATCTGTGATAAAAATTATTAATTATGTATTTTCAATTTTATTTTGAGTAATAGACTATACTTAAAAAGTCAAATATATAGTGAAAATGTACTTTGAACACAGTAAACTGATTCTTAAAGGTTTGTTAAATTTGTGTGTTATATAAAACTTGCGACGTTCTATAAACATCATTGTAATATGTGTGAAAACCCAATTAAACGTATATTTTAATGTGATCATTTAAAAAAAACTCAATTTGTTCCATTTTATATGTATGATTATACGTTAACGTTTTTCCTATTAAATAACCGTGTAGAGAACGTACTGAGTAGAGAATCCAGTTAACTACAACCTGACCAGAGACATGAATGTATTTGATATTGGCGATGGGCATTTTGTTTGGATAAGTAACAAACACTTCTCCGTTCAACACAATCTGAAAAACATATCATTGATCCTCATTTTATGATGTTGAAACAAACTCTTTGATTGTGCACACTACGATTCGCGTACAAATCTAACTTTGGAATTGAATATGTTTTATATATATATATATATATATATATATATATATATATATATATATATATAGCTCAATTAATTAAACCTTGGATAAGTATGCTTTTAAAAATAAAATAAATAATACATCAAGGTTTATAAGTGTCGATCAATTGATAGTGTCACTGCAATAGATACACAAACTTAAAAAGTAGAGTAATCAACAGAAACATAAACAGTTTAAGTAATTAAAAATGGATTTAAAATATTATCTATATCCAGATGTGCAATCCCCCGTAGTGTTATTTTGGAATATTCTAGAAAGCTTAGTGGAGATCGCTCCCGGTTTATTTATTATTTAAATGGTTATCGTATTGAAACATCCTTAATTACTTTATTTGCAGAAGAGAACACATATATTGTCTAACAAATCTTAAAAAAAATATTTCTATATTTTAAAACATCTATCTTTAATAAACTCGATTTTTCCATTTAAACCCCTTGTTTCATCAAATATTAAATAAGCTTTGTACCTTAAATATTGAGTCGGTAATTATGATGTCTAACTTAAACTCCGTTCCAGATTTGATCGGTAGACTTCCATAATTTTCCTCACTATTTAATGCGCTAGCATTATTGGAAGACCTAATCAATTTATTTTCTTTGAATTCAAATCGCAGCCCTAGGGGCACTTCGCTACCACATGAATCTGTTCGGCAGAGGCGAGCGCTGAAGCTGTAAGAAAATACGTAATAATGTACAAATTCAAATTAGAAGCCAATTAAAACAAACACTGCTTCAAAGCTTAAAGCTCCCATGTATATTTTCAAATATGATTTACTTTGTTAATTAGTAATCTAAAACGTAAGCTGAAATCTAGATACGCTTCGCATATTTCATTACAGTTATACTTTAACTAGATACTTATGTCAAGACAATTTTCATATATTCTGTAATCAAGTACGTGTTTCAAAATTAAAATTAAAAAAAATTTAAAATAAAAACGAAAAATAACGCAATTTGAATTCAATATCAATAAGTAGGCTTATAAATGTTAAATGCGAGAAAATACATAAAAATATAAAGAACCCCCAGAAAAACTGTTACAAAACCATTCTTTTAGGCTTCTTGTAAAAAACATGAAGACCTCACACAAACTTAAATGTTAAGTATGATGAAACTAACTCTGTAGCACTTCCTGACGTATTTCCTTCGATAGATATCACTTTTCCTGAATACATCGGAAAACGAATTTCTCTAACATATGGCAGCTTGTACTGTAATACAAATATGTACATTTCTTTACATTTCTTAGACACAAATGTTTTCAGCGTAATTATGTGATTTGTAAAATATGCATTTAAAAAATAATCAGTCTCAAGCAGTATGTGTAAGTGGTCGACCTTTTGACTACTTAAATCAAAGTGCGATAGTAGTATGCTCTCTTATTTGTGTCGATTTCCGCTATTTTGTAATTTCTTTTAATTATATAGTGCATAGAATATATATATATATATATATATATATATATATATATATATATATACAGAGAGAGAGAGAGAGACAGAGAGAGAGAGAAAGAGAGAGAGAGAGAGAGAGAGAGAGTATTTTGTTTAATTACTATGTCGAACAAAATTTAAAATAGGTAAAATAACTTAAAAATTCAAATTTAAAATAATACAAAAAACCACTACTTACTGCTTCAGAAGATCTGCTTTGAAAATTTGTAATGGTCTTGTCATCCACGCCGTCTAAAAATAGTGTTTCATTTGCTCCATCTACACCCGTCCAGCAATGTAAATTTGTCAAATATAAAACAACCAAAATTTGGAGTTTCATAATGTTTACTTCCTCAAGAATGTCCTAAAAAACAAAAAATAACAAATAAAATAAACAGCATAATTACGTTATTTAAAAAGTATAGCCTAAATTTCTACAATTATATTTCATACATCAACTTTACATTTAACTTACTTTTAAGATGATATATAGTTAAATGACTATTCCAAGTGTATGCTTTTCTTCTGTAAAGATGTTGACTGTTGAAGAAAATGGCTGCTTGACTAATGTGTAAATGGGTCGTCTTTCTAAGATTAAATAGCCTCGGTTATATCTACGTGGCAAGTTACGTGGCATCTAGTGATGATATAATGCTTTGGTTTTACAGATGGTGTCCATTAAACGATCTTAAATCAGTGGCGGATTATATCTTTGTTGGGTTCTCTAACATTACTTATGTGTGGTTCATAGCATTGTTATTGTGGATTCATAATATTTACTTAACAGTTCACTTCTTGATGAACGTATAACTTTATTATGTATACGTATTTACACATCTTTGGGGTTTGAAACATTCAACAATGATCTATATTAGAATAATAATAATCCAAGAACAATCCAAAAACAGAGTGACAGAGTGACGGCTTACATTCTTCTATACAGGCCTACACACTGCCCACCTTATACTACCTTTTTTTACCCTTAATTCTCTCCCCTCAAGTCAGTGAGCGATAGAACAAAAAGCATGGGAAAACATAGTCCCGGGACCCAAACTCGCGACGTTTCAGTTAGTCTTTAACTACTTTCCGACCACGCTGTTATGTTACGATACAACTAGTGTCTTAACATCCAATCGTATTTAGAGCAATGTTGGCTGAAAAAAAAGATGAAAAGACCTAATATTAATCGCATTCCTTTTATTACCAATATCATTTCTAAGACGAAAATGTTGTCAATCAAAACACCAACTACCAGACACGAATATTCCTCATCCTCACGCCTGCCAACTATCGCCCACCGTCCGTATCCCTGCGCTTCGTTTCCCAACCCTGAACTACTTCTGTCTCGCCTTTGCCCAATCCAGCCTGCTAAAGAATCGAGCTATTACCCGTATCGTGTTACATGGAATCCCTCATTTTTTATAACATCTTTTACCTTAATACAGATATCAAATAACATGTTGTTGCAGATTAGTTCAGGATTGTTAATTTGTGATTAAAATAGACGTCATGGGGACTAAAATAGTGACAGAGGATTCAGCTTGAACGGGACCCCGAACTGACATTTGTTTGGAATATATATATATATATATATATATATATATATATATATATATATATATATATATATATATATATATATATATATATATATATATATATATATGAAATTGAAGCTTGTGATTCATACAATGAAACATTTGTTTTTGTAATGAAAACCAACAATTAAGCAGTAAATTTAGAGCCCCCAAAACATCAGGGGTCGCCGGCTGCATCCCTCTCAGCACCCCACCCCCTCCTTAATCATTTACTGATAGACATTGAAGTAAATATATCCTGCTAACTGAATCCAATCAGTTTGAATAATTCCCTCCTCACAATGTAATTAAAGATGTTACCTATTGTAAACGTCCCTGTTACTATGTAAGTGTTATAACTGGGTTGTATATGTATACCACAGTTATGCAGTGAAAGGGTAGAAAAACTTGATTCAATACCCTATTTCCATATCACTACCATTTGGTTATGTTTAGCTATGCTATAGTATATCTTGAGACACGACGACATCACGCTTACTAATGATTTGACAGAATGACATTGGTTACTAATTCCATTTATTGCACAATAAGAAATGGACATCGGACAGCTTGAACAAACGATACTAAGACTGGACAACCTAACCCTAACATACCACGAACAAGACTAACTTCAAGATTCTTCCCTGACAACAACGAACTCACACTAAAACGTCACTTTCTTGCGTACCGCGTCACACACTCACTCGTTCAATATACGGCCGCACCATCAATCATGCGCACCCATTGCCCTAGTCAAACATGCATCATAACATTACCCCCCTCCCCTTCAAGCTAATCACTTTAGCTTTTTTTTTATTACTTCAATAATACAACATTCTGTTTTACCTAACAATAGCAACTATGGTAGCTTTCACACATAGACCTTAAAAGCTAAACAATTTTAACTAATTCTTGAAGTTCCAGTTCAGTTCATGTCACCGCGCGCACAAACATATTTTGACGATTCTGCAAAGCATACGTCTCAGATCACCAGTTGAGTATACAATCACACTTCACGTAAAGGCCAGGATTCCATACAATGTCGATCATATTATAGACCTAAAACATCCCATCAGTTCCACTGAAAAGAAATTATTTCTAGGGGAAAACAACATGTCACTACTAATCGGTTATCATTATCTAACATAGTCTCTCTAATCTAATGTATTAAACTTAATCTAATGTAGTACCTCTTCTGTTAATTACGCTACATTATTTATACAATAAATCACATCTCACGTGTTAATCTAGTGCTAAGTAATTAAGGAACCACATCAAATTTCATAAATCACTTTATCACCTGCATATATTCATCTCCTGTTACAATGACATGTACCAATAATAATTCTTAACATTTTCAGTAACCAAATACGATATCACATAGAGGAATATTTTCCCTAGAACCCTTAAATCCATTACCAGGTAATCGGTACATCCTCGAGCTACCCACAAAAAAAATCTGACTGCATCCTCAGTCTTGAAATCAACTAACTACCGATGAAGCAACCGACCAACGAACTATCCCCCTGCTGGCCGGGTGACGACACCAAATTATCATTAAACAACATTATCCTAATCTACTGGGTTCCTTACGCTAAGAAAACAAACCTCATAGGATAACATATCATCAGATATAATAAATTGAAAATCATATTATTATAATAAATCAAATCCAGATCATAGTGACATCATCTTGTCAACAAAATAACACCGCCCTCAAACCGGCGTGTCTACATTAACTATAACAATATCAATTATCACTAATACTTATGTCTTACTTATTATACTACAACCCTCATCAGCATAACACAGCAATGGGCTCATAATACCTACAGCCCCTGCTTAACCACTACAATTTTTTTTCACTAAGACGTAATAGAAAAAAAAATGTACATGCCTACTACTTAAAAAATATATGAAGAGGTACTACTTATCTAATTTGCAGAACTTGGGCATCATCGTCGGCTTCATCACACAACACACACTTCCCACACAGATCCCCTTGTCCTTCACAACACAGGTTCTCTCAGCACGGTCTTCACGTCAAGGTCCTCACAGCACGGTCATCACATGTTCTCCCCACACGGTTCTTCATGGCATGGGTCCTCCCAACACGGTTTCTCACAGCACGGGTCATAACGGCATAGGTCATCAGAGCACGTGTCTTCTTAGAACTGGTCTTCATACATATGTCTTCAAACACGGGTCTTCTTAGCACGGGTCTTCACACACGAGTCTGCAACATGGGTTTTCACGCTGTGATCTTTACACACGGTTTTCACAATAACAGTCAATACATCACTGAGACATAGTCCGTCCGAAAATTATGTCGATGGAACTTGACTGATTAGACACTGATAGCGTTTTCTGACTAGATTCTAGATGTTATTTCCGCCAACTAGCTTCTAAGTGCTTTTAAGTTACTTGGCCTTGCAATACTACTTCATGCTGTTATACTGCTTGAGTTGTCTTCATTCTGTTATAGCTGTTTCACGTTAATACTGCTCCACCATGTTATAACTGGGTTGTATATTGTTACGAACCCAAGTGATCTTTACCTGGGTTTGGTCCCATCGAGGAGGGCCAGGTAATTAAAATGAAATGCTTAGGCATGTTAATGCACTGGCCAGCATAGGCCGTGAGAACCTTTGGGCCGTGACGGCCACACCGGATTGGTTACCACGCTGTGGGCGGTGCATACCTGGTGTCTTGGGGTCCGAGCTATTAACGTGGCCAAGAACTCGTGATTTACGGCTGGGAAAACCTTCCAGATCGCACAGGGCCGAGATGGACGGTCATGTCCTGACCTGACCTGACCTGACCTGGGGGTCAGGCTCGATTAACAAGGTTCCCACACTAGCGAGGGACGACTTGAGTACTTTAGGAGGGTAGACCGGAGACTAGGGGGACACTCACACGGACACTCACAGACACTCGGGACACACACACGGAGACGGACGGACGTCTCGGATAGCTAGGTTTAGGGGAGACAGACATGGGGTCGTCTCTGTGAGCTAGTGGAAAGCCACGACATGTTTTAGACTTAGGCTAGGCTAGACGGTTAGGGACAAGTAGGGTAGTCGTACTAAGTACTTTAGTTGTAGATAGTTGTGTATTCTTCCTATTGTGTTCCATGTGGTGGCGGGTTAATGTTAGATGTTGTATTTTGTGGCGAATAAATAGAGATTACTGAAGTTGGCTTTTATTTATTTTTATTTTTTCTTCTTCTTGTTTACGATCCCCTGACTAGTTCGAAAGGATTAGAGAAGGGGGTACGTAACAATATGTATACCACAGTTATGCAGTGAGAGGGTAGAACTACTTGATTCAATACCCTATTTCCATATCACTACCATTTGGTTATGTTTAGCTATGCTATAGTATATCTTGAGACACGACGACATCAACGCTTACTAATGATTTGACAGAATGACATTGGTTACTAATTCCATTTATTGCACAATAAGAAATGGACATCGGACAGCTTGAACAAACGATACTAAGACTGGACAACCTAACCCTAACATACCACGAACAAGACTAACTTCAAGCTTCTTCCCTGACAACAACGAACTCACACTAAAACGTCACTTTCTTGCGTACCGCGTCACACACTCACTCGTTCAATATACGGCCGCACCATCAATCATGCGCACCCATTTCCCTCGTCAAACATGCATCATAACAGTAAGCCTAAACGAATATACTATATTTTAGAGGGATAAGATTAAATTATTGTTTTTTTTTCTGAAATTAACTCATACTTTCTCACATGAGTTTAGTATTAGTTACATCAAGTTTCGTTCGGCCACATCGATTCGACCATTATCTTTACCAAGCCAAATCTGTATTAACTGATTTCCTTTTATTGTTTTTCGTTTTAAGCGCTGTATGACTTTGTTACCATATAGGGTTGTTATGTGTCGTTTTGTGAGCGTAATGGTATGTATAAGGGGTAGATGAGACGCAATACTGCTTGTGTTCTTTC